AGCTGGAGTTGTGACTCAAAGGATTATAGACCCAAATTTGGTGAAAGGAGAGAAAGGACAAAAGATAAAAAGTTGTCAGAAAGGTTAAATAGTTCTTCTGTTAGGCAAATATTGAGTCTTAATTTTCCAACCTTTCTCACTTCTTTATCTTTTGTCCTTTCTCTTCTTTTTCCGAATTTGGCTCTATAATCCTTTGAGTCACAACTCCAGCTTTATTTAGTATTCCTTCCAGCATTGCAAGATTTGGCTACATTGCGCCAAATGTGGCTACTTTTTTAGTTTGACGTAAAAAAATATCATTTGGCGCTTTGGCAATTTTTTAAAATATTCTTTTTCGTGATAAAGTTTTAATACTTATTATTATAATCTAGACATGTTAATCCTTAAATATACTTGTATATTGGGCCACAAGTATATATTATATATACTTGTGGCCCAAAACTCCTTGACTTCTTCCAATGCGGCCCAGAGAAACAAAAAGGTTGGACACCTCTGATATATAATATTAAAATAATAACTATATGTGTAAAATATAAAATAAAAGAAAGGATACATACAGTATGTACAAAATTTAACAATCAAAAGATATGTTGTATAAATTTGATATTATTATAATAATTATTTTCTTTTGTAAATTTTTACAAGATGTTTTTAACAATGAAATATAATTGTTTTACAGATAAGATCCATTTAAAAGAAATTTTTTCTCAATGATTATTGAATATTCTAATAGACAAAACAATATTTGTCATTTTATCTCAAATATCTTATCAAATATGCAAAAAATCATTTAATAATTCTGTATTTAGATAGTTTATCAAGATATGATTTATAAGTTGAAAAACTGCCTAAAATACAATGTTTTTGATTCTAAAATGAAATAATTTTAAGATACATTCAAAATAGCATACAGTAAACTCCCGATTATCTGTGCACAGATTATCCGGTTTGCGGATTATCCATGCATGAATTTAATTTAAAAAAAATAATTATGTGTATGTATTTTTTAAATAGTTGCTTGCTTTCATATTTATGCATCCTATAAGTGTGCACGTGTTCGTATTTAGATGTTTGAAGCAGGTGGTGGGGGTATCTGAAGTTAGCTGGACTGGTTTTAGTTAGGCTGCTTCTTTCGCGCCAGACATTTCTTTTCGGAGGAGAAAACGATAGTGAGTACATTTATTCAAAGTTTTGTTTAGTTGCATGTTATAATATATATTACAATTTAAGATTTGATTATATGTACGTATGTATAATACATATTATACATAATATTTTTTTCAAATAACTCTCCCACAAATACTTTTAATGTAAAATTACGTAAAATAAGATTAGTTTTTTAATTTTCAGATAAGTACCCTTAAAATGCCTAATAATCGTAAGAAAGTCGTATTTACTATAAAGTAAAAACTAACGTTAATTGAAAAATTTGTAAAAGGTGAATCTACATGTTGTATTTTAGAAATAAATAATTATAGTTTGGATTATCCGTGCTACCTCTCCCCACTATTAGCCTGGATAATTGGGAGTTTACTGTATTTTTAAATTCACTCGAAGAGCAATTTGAATATTTTATGCTCTTAAAGAAGTTAAATCAAAATGAACATATCCCTAGTCTTAGTGTCTTCATACATTAAATCAGTCTTAGTGTTCCTAAACATAAATATGGAACACTAAGACTGATGAAACTTCACTCAAATCAATGAGTCCAAAAGATGTCCCTTCCCCCTTTTTTTTTTAATTAAATAAAATATCCTTAGAAGAACTGACCATAGATTTATCAGTTTCCATAATGGAGGAATATTTAAATAACAATGCCAGCTTGGTATTAACTCATGGAACTTAAATTCTAGTCCAAGAAGGTTCCTATCACAAATATAATGCCAATTTGTTTTGATACAAGAATATATTCTTGTACTCTTAGTTGTTTTGTGAGGATTCCAGTTGTGCTTGATATATAATTCATTTTAACCTTAAGTGATTTTTTAAAAGTATTGGGAATTTTTGTATATTTACTATTTTGATGATATCATCCTTTTTTTGTTCTTTATATTTAAGGATGTTTTTAAAATAAAATTCATTTTAAAATAAGAAAAAAAGCATGAAAGACAAAAATAATTTATTATAGCCAAAAAAGAGACACACACAGTTGCCATTGACTTTTATACATTTTAGATGACATGTTACCAGTTTTCTTATTGTCAAAGAAGTCTGTTGCTGATTTTTTAAACTAAAAATAAAAAGGATTACTGAGTATTTCATCATCATTTTTCAAACCATTTCTTTAAATGCAAAAACAAGTGATGTCACTTGACATGAGATCAGGGCTATAATGCAGATGGTCAAAAATTTCCCAGTAAAATTGTTGCAACATTTTAACAATTTGAGATTTGATGTGAGGTCAAGTGTCAATTTTTGATCATCTGCTTTATAGCTCTTATCTTGTGCCAAGCAACTAGTATCTATTTTTGTATTTAAAAAAAAATAAATTTTATGCTTATCAACCAGACATTACTTAGCATTTTAGCACCAAAATATACTGTTTTATACTACACTATTGAATGTTTTTCAGCAATTATAATTTGATATTCTTATACCCAAAAAGTTTATTTGTTTCTTGCTTAAATAGTTTAACATTGAGGATAAAATCTACATCATAATCATCAGATTTACAAGCTCTTTACAAAATCAAGTTTATCAAATTCAATGTGGAAAATCAATACATCTACATAACAGAACTACTTGAAAATGAAGTAGCAGAATTTCAATGAAATCCAAAATTAGTTTTACAAATTCTTTCATCATAGGAGAATCTCTGATTGTTGTCTTATATTATGTTAGTGTGTGTTCAAAATATTACTATTATTTTATTATAAATATTTAATTATATGTCTAAGGAAAACTCACTGCATTTATATTTCAAAATAAATTTTATTGGAGTTTTTATATATTTAATTCACAGAAGGAGATTTAGCATCACACATTTCTTCTCATCAGAATGAAGTTATAAATACCATCAGAAAGTTAGGTGCAATATCTAAAGATGCAACATTAGCTTGTAAAAGAATATTAATATATTATTCTGTTGCAAAGGTAAGTTTAAATTATATTAAGAAACTATTTAAAATAATTAAATTAAATTTATAAAATATTTCTCATTTCAGATTCTTGATCAAACTTATGATGATATAAAAAGTCAGTCAAAATCATTTTCATTGATTAAAACTATATTAACCTGTTCATATCCTGAAAAATATGCCTTAGCAAAAGATTTATTAATTGCAAATTCAGTAAGCAATGATGAGATCACAGAATTCCTTAGTGAAGAAGTGATGTCATGTTTACAAATATATACAGGAATTGCAGGTATTTATATTATTTATCTAAAAAGATATAATTCTAACTCTTCCTATTACATAGAAATGCTATAATCTGTCAAAATATAAAAAAGTATTATTTTCAACATAATATATAATAAATATATGTAGACAGAGAAATATATATTAAATATTATTTATAAAAAATTTATTCAAAATACAGTGGGTGATTGGATAACAAACACTTTCACGAAAGATTTTTATGATCGGACAACAAACACTTCACTGAACAAACACAAGAAGAAGCTACGTAAAATAACGAATACCGATTGATCTTCCTTTCTCTTCAGGCAACAATTCGAAACTTTTTGGAGCACAGGAGACGTCGACATCGACATTCAACCCGGTATATACTGATCAGATAGTATTTCCCCGAGCTTTGAAACTCTCCCTTGTAATTCCAACCTTTTATATTTCTGACAGAAACAATTTCTTTTATGTTTTCTTCTGAAAAAGTGGATTTATGCTGATATCTGCTGTTAAAGATCTTTTGAAGTGGGATGATGTCAGAACAACGGTCTTAGAATGGCATCCAAACCAGGTTGAGGTTAATAGGCCTAGGGATGTCTACATTACTTCTGAAAAATCATGAAGAAGACAGAAAAGCAATCGACATTGGACAGATTCTTTAAACCCCACAAACGGAAAAAACATGACTAATAAAAATGCAAGACCATGTATTATTACATATGAATAAACATAGTAAGAAAGTATATATTTTTTGGTGGTCTCCAGAATGAATTAAATTCCCATAGAAACCTACGGTAAATCGATAATCGGGTAACGAACAATTCGGATAATGAACAAAGTCTTGGAATGGATTATGTTCGTTAACCAATCACCCACTGTAAATAGTGAAAGTTTTGTACTTTTATTACAAGATAAACCAAATGGCTTTGTTAACTTGATATCTTAATTATTTTCAATTATTTATTCAAATAAATGAATGTTTTTATACTTCTCTAATTCTAAAACATTTTTTCAGAATTTTCAATACCCCAGAGTAATAATGAATTGATATTTAATCCCAGTAATACCAAAAGTTTTCAACAATTACTACATTTATGTGATGATCCTTCTTTACTGGGAACAAGACTTCTGAATATCATTGACAGAGAAATGGAAAAGAAAGTGAATGTCTGGACAAAATCAAGTAATCAATCTGCATTATTCACATAATATAAATATAATATTTAAGTTTTGTATAAATTAGCAAATATATCTTTACAGATCTGAGTTTGGTGGTGGAACTCTATATTAGATCCCATGATTGTTTCAGTGCCACTTGTAATATGGAAGGAATTTCAAAAGTACTTCATAGAGCTAGAAATTTGGCAAGAAACTTAACAGATAGTCAAGAATTTCAATTATTGGTTATTATTATTATTATTATTATTCAAACTTCTAAATGGTCACATTTTCTCAATCCCATTGATCTTCCTAATATAATTTAATTCTTGTTAATTCATCATTAGGTTAAAATTAAGTTAAAAATAATCTTAATCTTGGTTGTATTTTTCATAAAAGCAGACAGCTGAAGTATCAGGATTTCAGTGCTAGTGCATGGGGATAAAAAAGCTAAAAACTAAGATGACTTTTAATCATCATGATTCAATATGATCAATACAATACTCATCTTGTATTCACTCAAACCCATAATCACAATGGCTGGGTGATTAGGGATGGAATCCGGAAGTTTCATGATATACCAGGATCATTTCACTCCTGAAACTTTGACTTTCAAAAGCCACCAGTCACCAAGTTGATGAAATTACAGTATTCAAACTGGAAGTTGGTTCCATGTTTGTACTTAAACAATGAGCTGGCCACTTGGAGTTTCCAGGTCTTCTTTACAAATCTAATACCTAAATAGGACCAGTTTCCCATAGAAAATCTTTCTGAGAGGTAGTTTTCTTGTGATGTGTTTGTTATGTTGCCTTATTCTATCAAAACAGTTTTGTTTTACAAGTAGATTTGAACCTGAGTCCCAGCACTGACCTATCACCTGTCATCTGACTGCTAGATTCAAGCTAGACTACTTTATAGCAGTCTATTCATTCTCTCTTCTATTCATTGTTCAGTTCACTTCAAATGACTTTACACTCATTTGAAAGATATAGATGCTGCAAACAAAATTATTCCTTGGGAATATCAATAATGAAATTAAGAATTGGCACATATTTTCTGCGCTCTTTTTCCAGAAGGTCTTATGACATAGCTGGCAATTGAATCAGCTATGTTTAAAAGCATGTTTTTGAGTTTTTTCTCTAAATATACTATTTGTCATATTTTTAAATTTCAACTAAAAAAATTTGATGTTTTGGCTATTTTGATCAAGAATATCTGGGAGCAGTCTTGTTATTATCTTCTATTTTAACAGAAAAAGACACTTTTCTTATGAAACCAACCATTCAACCATTTTATTTCTGAAGAAATAGATTGGTTGAATGGTTGGTTTCATAAGTCCCTTAAAAAAAATAAGATTTTCAGTTTAAATTTGTTGTAGAAACAAAAACATGCATCTTAAAGATTAATTAATTCTCTTTTTTCTTTGCAGTTTGATTTTTCATAATATTTAAAACTAAGGGTAGCTTTTACATAAATGCTTGAACTTTCAATATAGTACAAAGATGAGATGCAGTGATGAGTGCAATAATGCAATAATTATCTGTCAGTGAAGAACAACATTCAAAATCAAAAGTAATCTGAGATGAGTTCATGCTTTTGAAACACTTTACTGACCCTAGATTTGCAAGATCTGCAAAAATCCACACAAATCCACAAGTATGCCTTAAAAGGCTCTTGTATCAATTCTAAAGATGTTTTCTATTGGTGAAAATAGCATTTGAGGCAAGTGCAAAGAGAAAAAAAAAAACAGGAATCCTCTTTAATAGATTATTTTACATTTTTGTCATTTAATTACTTTCTTTAAAAACTAAATATTGTACCTTTTCAATAGCACTCTGCTTAACTGATTACACAGATGACCAATTATTGATTTTCATTCTATTAATGAAAATGCACATATTTTTTTATTTTTAAATAGGTACGGCTGTTAACAGGAATTGGAAGATATAGTGAAATGACTTATATTTTTGATATTCTTAGAGAAAGCAGACAATTTGAACTTCTATTTCGTAAGGGTATGGAAAAGGTAATTACTATTTATCTTAGAATAAAATTTCATTTTCTATCAATAATTTTTTTCAAAACAAAATTCTAGTATAAAATGAAAATTAAATCTATATTAAATATATATATATATTTATTTATTTATTTATATCTTTTATCATTATGAAGGCCACTCTGAAAGTTTCCAGATACATGAAAAGTTGTGTGTGAAACTTATCAACATTGTTCCCAATTTCTCAAAGCACTTCTTTGTGATACTGAATGCAACTATTCATCCAGTAAAAACATATCAACCATTCTTCTTCAAAGATGGCCACCAATTGATAGGCACTGACATCATCATTTGGCAACAAAAAGCAGTGTCCATTAGGCCCTCTTTCACTATTGGAAAGAGAAAGAAAGTGCTGTAGGGTGGGTGGATGGATCATTAGTTGGAAATATAATTTCAATTTATTCAGAAACTTCATTTTTGTGACTGTATGGGCAGATGCATTGTTGTGATCAAGAAGACATTGCAGTCTATTCTCTGGCTACCTACAAATTTCCCAGAAGAATGTGGTTAGACAAACAGTGATGTACTGTTCAGTAGTAACAGTTTTTCTTTCCACTGGTGGAATGGTACCAAATGTGTCCATTTTTTTAAAGAACAAGATCACCATTTGTTGATCAACACTTCAGTTTTGGAGGAACTTTCTTTTAGGGAAAAATCCAAATATGAGATTGCTGCTTGGTTTCTTGGTTTATGATTTTTCAATCATGTTGCAACACCATTCCATACAAGTCTCCTTTTGTTCCTCAGTGAAAAGAATGCGGCATCTACCAATATGTAATTTTTCTTATGTGAAAGTGTGTGTGAACAGTTTTGTACATTGCTGCTAATTTGATTTACAAGGTGTTCTTAATCTCTTTGTGACTTATCCAGGGAACCTCTCTGATTTTGGACTATCCAGAGATGAGCCATATTCTCTTAGGTAACTGCAGTAGACATACAGTCATTTCTAGCTTTATCTTTCAAGCATGTTTGTCACATTAAAATTCATCAAACTATCAAAAACCTGTGTATTTAGTCCAGAAAGATTGCCTAAGAACATACAAGACATTCTCTGACTCAAAAAAAACCAGATTTAAAATCATAAATCATAATTGCCTAAAAATGCTGATGATTATTGATTTTTTTTTGATTGATTGAACCTCCATTGATTTTTTTCCAGTCAAAATGATACCACTTCTGTTTTGGGTACTTGCAGGCAGCAACAAACTAGTGATATCTCTTCCTCAGGATTGCTTTATTGCATATGCAGCAGATGTTGCCATATACTCAATACATTTTCACATCTAGAAACTTTCAGAGTGAGAGAAACCTTTGTATAGAGCAATACTAAAAATTTAATTAATCATTTACCAATACCTACTTTTGGGTCAGTTTTGGGTCAGTTTTCATCCCATTATCTGTCTGAGACTGATTTAACATGCTTATTCTGTTATGACATTGTAATCACATATTACTGCAAACATAATGACAGTGGTAGTAAAGTTTCATTTGATTTTAATGCCTTCTTGGTGTGTAACTTTGTAATCAGGGAAAGACTTATGTCAGTGAGTGTAAATATACAGGACAGTCATAATGTCATAAACTGATTCCCAGAGCTTTTATTTTCCTGCTGTAATGTATACAGACTGAATGGTTCAGGTGGCACTGCAGTCACCAGTATCAAAATGGCATCTTTGCAGGAGAAAATTTAATGTATTCTGTAGTTTCATGAAACAAAATCACCAATTATAACTCAGTAGTAGTCATTATCTGTGTCTATGGCATAGTTTAGGCTGGTTTCTAAACTTTATGATTCTACTTAGCATAGTTTTTGCACAATAAATGCTTGTAATCTGGAAAAGACTGATCATCCAGGACCCTTTGTCTCAAGTTTTTCATGTTACAACTCCCAACATGGAGGTATCCATAGTATCGTATCATACTCTGACATCAAATTCGTAGTCTCGAGTTATAACTTTCATGCTTTCCCATCTCACCGTGAGACTTCCTACTCACTTTGAATTGAGCCTGTGAGATCTCTACACTAAAGTGAAAATGGCTGATGGATATGCTATTCTGATCGCAATCGAAGTATTAGAAAGAGCTGAAAGACATTGTTTAAGAAGGCAACGAATTTTTTGACCAATTATATAATATAAATTATTAAGAGTATAGACAGTATATTAAGATTATTTATTAATCAGAAGTGTTAAGTTCATTGAACAATTTAAGATATAGATCAAGGAAGAAAACTGAAGAAAGGATTATATTAAAATAATTACTTTTTTCCATCCCACTACAGACTTTTTAGCTCCAACACATGCATATAAATTTTGAACTAATTCTTTCCACATATTGAAATGTTTTTTTCTAGTAAATTCATTGTCAAATTTTCCACTGTTCATTTTTTTATTATTTTTTGTGTGTGTGACTAATATGTCTTTCTGTTCTTCATTAATTTTTTTAGATAAAACATTGGAGACATCCATTTTGTTCTTGCATCCTATATTGCTATAACACAAAAGTAACTGTAACTAACTAAAAGTAACTAACATGTGCAAACTAATTAAGATGTGATGGAATGAAGGTTGGCCATTAAGAAGTTAGTCACTAGATGTTGCCTGTACCATACCTCCTTCATAATGCTGCACCTTGTAGTAATGCCACCTTCAAACTCCATCTTTTTACTGTTATATAACCCTTAGTCAAGCCACCTTGTAGCATTATGAAGCCACATTATGCTTGTCTCCTTTACACCCATTTAATGTTCACTGATTTTACCTCTATAGCAATTTGTTTGTCTTGTATAATTTTAAGTATTATAACCTTTTTATATTAATACCAACTGAAGAAGGACTATTCCGATAGTCTCTCTTCAGTTGGTATTAATATAAAAACTATTCTGAGGAGACTATTCTGATAGTCCAAAATGTTCAGAGGAACTATTCTGATGCAAAGTCCAAAATGCATTTTGGACTTTGCATCAGAATAGTTCATGTTAATTACTCATCTAATCTAGTTTTAATGTGCACCCCTTTTGTTTTTTTTAAATGTACTACATTGATACCTGAGTGTTTGTGCTTATTATCACTGGTGTGATAAGTCATTATCTACCCCACATTAGTAGATATTTAATTAAACCAAAGGCTAAAAGCAATTGTTTGTAATAATTGAGCCATTTGCAGGCCAAATTGACTAACTCCATTTGTAAATCCTTAATATAATTGTCATTATTTTCAAATTTTTTGTGTAACTAATTTTATATATCATTATATTAAAGCTACAATGATATATAAAATGATCATTACATATATAACAATATGTAAAAATACATTCTGCAATGTTTATTTAAATTTAAAGTTTAAAGGGAATTTTAAAAAATAATTTATATTATCAATTTTTATTCTTTTTGTGGAGTTAATCGATTTGGCAAGTGAGCCACTCAATCCACATTGATTTGTTTACAACTTGTTACAGTTAAGTTGATTGGTCAAATCATTATAGTTGCAAACCCAGATGCATTGTAAATAATCCCATCATGTTTAACAGTATACATAACCAAGTGAATATGACTTATTTTTGCTCACCTTTTGAGTTTGCTCGACAGGTTTAACTCGAGACTACCAATTATGTGAGTTATAGTAACATGAATGAATTCAATGATGTCCATTCAAGTACAACACAAAAAACTTGAGACTAAGGCCCCAGTATGTTTTGAAATATATATACTTTACATTTCTTATTATAATTATTTTTTGAAAATGTATGTGTGCTTTTGTTTAAAGGTTCCAAATCTTCGACTTGCCTTATTAGATTATTTAAAACGTTGTCAGACAGTAGATTCAGATGTATATTCAATGTTGGCTTTGAACTTCAGCATGTTTCGAGAGATTGCAGAGATACTGGAAAAATCTGCAAGAGATTCTGTTATAAAAATAAGAAAGAAGAAAACTGGTGAATAAATTAATTACTTATTAATTCTTTGTTAATTTGATAAGTCTTGATTATTTTTCTTTATCATATCTCTTATAATGTAGGTAATGCAAATGTCAAAGATGATTTGGTAACTACAATGCATGAATTTGCTGATGCAGCAGAGAGTTTTTGCAAGGTATTTCATATAATATAATATATACATATACTGCTGGCCATCCAAAATGCAACACTAAGAAGGACCAGAGATATCATAGCCAAATTTATTTGGGAGATAACACGTTGTATAAAGATCAAATGGTTGAAAATACAGTCTCTTGTGAAGTGAGGAAGATGATGGAATCAATATGGAGTGTTGCCGCCATTATTGGCTATAACCGCTGCTACACACCTCGGCATTGACTCAAAGAGGCTTTGGATATGTTGTTGGGGTATAACATTCCATGCTGCTTCTACATACTGCCAAAGTTGATCCGGTGTAGCAGTGGGTGGTGTATCCTGGGCCAGTCGTTCTGCAATCATTGACCAGATGTTTTCTATAGGTGAAAGATAGGGAGAACAAGGAGGCTAAGGCAGCAATGCAATCTGATGGGCAAAGAAGAAGTCTTGAGCAATGCGTGCCACGTGGTGTGCATTATCCTGTTGGAATGTGACCGTTGGCAAGCTATGAAGGTATGGGAGGACAACAGGCTCTAACACCTCAGAGATATAGCACTGACTGGTCAGTGTACCGGCAATGCGTACTAGGGGGTGCAGGAGTGGAATCCAATACCTCCCCAAACCATAATACCGGGTCTAGGACCAGTATGGAAATGAATAAGGCAACAGTTCATCAGTCTCTCACCACAGTGTCTCCAGACTCTAATCCAACCATTGTGGTGTTGCAGGCAGAAGTGGGATTCATCAACAAAAACAATGTTGTTCCATTTGGTTGTCCATGTCTGTTGTTCATTGCAACAATGCTGGTGCAAATGCCTGTGGTTTTGACTCAATGGTAAATGTGGCAATGGATGCCTTGTGGACATTCCATTCTGCTGCAAACGACGTCTAATGGTACACGTGGACACGGATTGTTGAGTAACAGATTGAATTTGTTGTGATATGGTTCATGATGTGGCACAACGCTACCTCACTGCCATGCTCATGATATGCCTGTCATCATGTGCAGTGGTGCAATGAGGTGGGTGCAATTGGTCCTGTCGGTCCATTGTTCCCTCCTGCATCCAGCGGTTGCAGATCCACATCACAGTTGCTTGGTTACATCCGACACAATCACTGATTTCTCTGAAGGATAATCCGCAATCCTTATAGGCAACTATTCTTCCTCGGTCAAACTCAGAAACATGCTTGAAAGATGTGCTCGTTTTCTTCTGCATGGCATACTGAAGCTACTTACGCCAAAAAAACGCATGAAAGAACAATTCCAGTACTTCAAAATGGCCTTCTATTCTCTCTTTATATAGCGCTTGCAGGTGGTGCAACAGGCACCCATGATGTGCATATGTGCTGAAATGCTAATCATTTGCATATTTCATTGCCACAAACGCATGGTGCAAATTTTACTTGATTTGGATGCTTCCTTCAGGGTGTTGCATTTTGGATGGCCAGCAGTATATGTATATATATATGTGTGTGGGTGTGTGTGTGTGTGTTTTAAGTGATTTGGAAAAGTTTATTTATTTTAGGCAGATTGTTTGTTTCATGCCGAAGAATGTATTTTGCAAGCAAAACTTGTAGCTTTGCAAATTCATTTGCTTCCTAGTGGAATATGGATCATTGGATTGATAGATAAAGAAGTCAGCAAATTTATTGAAGAACATAATAAATTTTGTGAGGTAAGAGATTTCATTTGTTATTATTTGTACTGTACATAATTAGAACAGCAAATTATATAAAATATTTTCTATTTAGGCCTATATAGTATCTCAGGCATATAAAGATCATCATTCATGGGCTCCAGCTCTATTTAGGCAAGTTATAGAAAAAGGAAATTGGGAATATTTTTCAGAATTTGAGAAAAATATTGGTTTGACTTCTATTTTAATTGAAGATATTGCAAGAAGGTATTTTAATTCTTCCAATTAGACAAAACAGTTTCAAACACAGCTTGAGCTATATTTTTCATCTTTGATCTATGTCATTTTCTTCTCCTTTCTTATTTCATATAGTATAAACATCTGTCTGGAGAGAGATGTGCACAGCATCCTTTCCTTAATCTTTGGTTCAGTTCTGTAAGATATTTTTCAACATTAACTCCATGCTTATCTTTCAGATGTACAGCTTAGCCTTTCTCAGCTATGTTTTACTCAACATCCAAACACAAAAGTGTATGGCTCTTGTTGAAGCAATTTTATTATGATTGAAAAATAACATAATAAAATTGCTTCAAGTGCCATTCACTTTTGTGTTTGGATGTTGAGTAAAACATAGCTGAGAAAGGCTAAGCTGTACATCTGAAAAATAAGCATGGAGTTAATGTTGAAAAATATCTTACAGAACTGAACCAAAGATTGGAAAGGATGCAGTGCACATCTCTCTCCAGACAGATAGATGTTTATACTATATGAAATAAGAAAAGAGAAGAAAATGCCATAGATCAAAGATGAAAAATATAGATCAAATGGTATTTTAATCTTAAAAATTACTATATTTTATTCTTATTTGCTGTAAGTTTAAGTTCTTTTCCTATTTCTAGATTGCTTTTGTTGAATCCTAAATTTGAGAATCAAATTAACAATATGAAGAAACTGATAGAGTGCACTGATCCTGAGACAAAGTATAAGATAGCTTCAGAATTTGATTTTCAAGACATAATCAGTGATCTCTTAGAAGGTGATTCAGGTCCTTATATTAAGGACTTAATAATAAAACATAGAAAGAAAAATACTAATTAAAAATGTATATGTTATTGTTATAGGTGCAATATATAATTAAAGATTCTTTGTATTTTTCTTTACTGTCATTTATATATTTTGAAAATCTCTAATATATAAATGTAATTGTTATGTAAGAGTAAATTTTTGTATAATAAATTTAATGAAAGTTATATAATTTTATATCTTTATTATAAAGTTTATTTTGTTGGAATACATTGTAAAGTTTAATCAAAAAAATAAAATTGTTTATTCTGACTTATTTAAGAAATTATTGATGATTTGTTAGAATTACTGTGTCTGTTAATTCTGTAAAAATGATCAATTGGGTGTTTTCAACAATCATGAGCATTGTCATTTTAAATTCATTCTGAACCAGGGAATGAGAGAAGTGTGACAGAAGTAAGATCAATCAGAAACCAAACCTACATTCATTCTCTGAAAGCTATAAAAATATATATAAAGGGAGCAATTATTTATTGTAATATCATCAGAATGCCAGGCTGCAATTTTTAATCATATTTTTAAATCATTTAATTTAAAATATATGCTCTCCACCTCAAATTAGTAGTGGCCTGCCCCTGTACATCATACTTTTCCTTTAACAATAGAGTCGTGCCTGTAATCTATTAACTGCTTTGAATTGAAAAAACATGATTTTCGATTTGCATCGGAAGTTCATATATAGTTAATTGGGTCCTCCTGTCCCTTAGGATTCTATATCTCTTCTCGGATTTAATCTAACTAACTCAGTTCCCAAGATTAAGGAAAGACGAACGGTCGGACGGATAGCATTGGAAATTTATAGGTTACAATTTTTTCAAATTGCAGCCCCTTGAGGTCACGGGGTCGACGCGAACTAACTGATAGGAAAGTTCAGAATGTTAATCAGAAAAATCGAGGTTTGACTCTGACTCTGGTAGACATGACAAAATTTGGAAACGAATGTAGCATTCCTTTGAACGCAAAATTGTCGGGTTGTAAGTAATGAAGACATAAAGAAAAATTCTTAGCCGTCAGAAAAGAAAATATACCGTGTTTCCCCGAAAATAAGACATCCGCAGAAAATAAGACCTAGCACAGATTTTGCTGATTTGCGAAATATAAGACCTCCCTCTGAAAGTAAGACCTAGCGAAGTTTATTTTTAGTCGTAACGGTCATCGACAGATGGTTGAAAGTGGCCGTTGGCTTTTTGAAAGTACAGCCACTGATTGGTCAGCAGACAATTACGCCACACGGCATGATTTGCATAAGACTATGGCTTGGGAATCACAGATTTGCATAACGTTACGGCTGGTGATGGCTAATTGGTTGGCCGGGAATCACGCCACATGACATTTGCATAGTGCTACGGTTCAGTAAGCACTAATTGGTCATCGAGTCCAATGTTGACGCTATAAAAAGGCGACAGTTCGACACATCGGATATACGTCACTCTCGTCTAAATTCGACTTGGGAATTTTTTTGTTCAATAATAAATGTGAATTCTTCCTCCTGGAAAAAATAAGACCTCCCCTGAAAATAAGACCTAGCGCACTTTTCAGAGCAAAAATTAATATAAGACACTGTCTTATTTTCGGGGAAACACGGTATTGGCGTGAGATACAAGCGAAAGTTTCAAAGTTCGATCAACAGTCACGGACCAAGTCGAACGGAAGTGTCAAATTAATTAATCCGCGAAACCCGCAACCCCGACGGCGACCGAGGAATATTTCCGAAAAGCGAAATAATATTGGGTGAAATAAATCAAAATATTAATAATTTGATTTATTTCATCCAATCGACGAAAAAGATATTTATTCAAACGAATTTCGTGCGATTTTCGAAGATCGTTTGAGCCTCGAGACGTAGAATTTAAGAAAATCGTCTTTTACCCCTCCTCGGTGGACATTCTGCACCATGTAAATGCAGAAGTTAATTTATTTATCAAATTCCGAACATCAATATAAAATATTTTGCTATAAGCTATACTAAAACTAAATTTGACTCAATAAATTTCAATATCTCAATTCTATTATAGTCAGATAATGCAGTACCATTTGATTTTTGACACAATAAAATTTTAATTTTTATTTGATTTTTGATAAAATCAAACACTTCCAATAAAAATTCTGACTTACATTTCACTTTTGATATACATAATTACTTCTTCACTCATGCGGCAAATGAAAATGTCTTTAGTATATTATGCCTTTAGGTAGTAATAATATAGCATGTTAGCAAATTGTTTTATTAAAATGCTATAAGTAATTGTAGACTCTTTAGTGTTACTATTCTTCACTACATGCGTTAGTAATTCCAATAGAAATCGAATACAACAAATTTCAATTAGGCCTACATTACTGGCATTTTCTATATTAATGGCCATTGTTGTTTAGTATAAAAATAATATTTTGATTTTTAATACATTAAATTTGATAAATCAGACAAATCTCTCGAAATAAAATCTATGATTTTATTTCTTTTATTTTTGCATAATGTAGCGTTCTTCAACTTTTTCACACCTGCGAAAATAGGAATATTTCGCAAACTAGCGGAAGGCTAAATGTAAATTTTTTTAGATTTAGACTGCATAGAGGCGAGTTACGCGCGTGACTGTCGTAACTTTATTTAAACAATTGCAACAATAAAAAATAAATAAAAACTGCTTATATTAATTACAAGTTTAAAATCTAATTATTTTATTATTACAAAATTTCCTGCCAGCGTACGAAATTTTTCGCGGTCCGGCAGGAAATTTCCGCGAACCCAAGGTTGAAGAATACTGGTATAGTGTATCTCATAAAGTTTAATAAAATTAATTATTTCTTTATAATTATTTATTTGAACACTAAATGCTTTGAAAAAGTTACGTTTAATTTTGATAAATTTTATTTAGAATGTGTATTGGCAACACTTAAAATTCAATTTGTCATGTGTTTCTCCATCGAAGACCACGTGTATATTGTTTAAGAGAAGTTGAAATCTTGAAGCATGTCGTTGTTTATTCGTCATCCTCCTAAAACTGCTTCTAAACGTGGGAAAAGAAAGGTTTGGAAATCGTATTTTGATGACACTCAAAAATTTTGTAATTTAAGATATTTGTATTCCGATTAGTTGTTTCAAATTATGATGATTTAATTTCAAACTCAAAACGTTTGTATTGAGCAAAGCTGATTTTTATAATGCGAAATATTGGCAGTTTTCTATATTTTGAATTTTTAAATGATTTGTAACTTTTTAAAAGATCAAAATGGCATAAATTATATGAAAATATTGTCATGTGTTAAAACAGTTAGGTGTCAACCCAGTTAAGATTCATCATATTTTGGAGCATGAACGGATAGAAGGTTAATAGTTTTTATTTTAAATCTTATATCATGGCTAAAAGTTTTTTCACTATTGAATAATTATTTCGTGGATCAAAAGCCTTTTAGAAAACCAAAGCATTTTAGACTTTCTGTGTATTATCAAGAGAAGTGAAGATTGAAAGAAGCTGCCAGATTATTACTAGTTAACGTTTTATAGTTGAATCAACATAAACAAGTAAAATAAACAGAAAAAAAGAGAAAAAAACTGGCAAGGGCTTTTGCATGAATTTTCTGGCACTTGAACAGAAGGTTAATTAAGTAAATGTACAGTACCACAAAAGAAGTATGATAATTTTCAGTTATAATTTCTAAAAGACAAAGGCCTATTTTATGGGGGTAGGGGGTAATTTAACTACTCATTAGTCTGACCTCAATTTACAATGTACATAAAACAAAACAGAAAATAATGATAAATAATATTATTCAAACAAGAACATCTGAGATGTAAAAATTGCACCAAGTAAAAACTGATGACAATTTAGACAACAGTCAAAAGTTTTTTGAGTTTTTCTTTGGAAAAGGTAAGCTTGACACTTGGAAGTGGTACTCAAAATTTTTACCTGCATTATTATTTTCTACAAATCACTTCCAAGTGCCAAGCTTATCTTTTCTAAGAAAAAATATGATGATCATCTAAATCAGGGGTGTCCAGCCCACGGGCCGCATGCGGCCCATGTAAACATGTAAACAAAACTGACAAATGTTTTAATTTTTTTATTATTTATTTATTTCAACGGCATAAACTCAGAAGTTTCACAAAGCTGTAAACCTTCATTTATATTTTATTTTTGAGCGGAAAGGAAATATTTTCAAATATTTGGAGATGTGTGAATCAGGAAGGATTAATTAATAAATAAAGCTGGAGTTATGACTCAAAGGATTATAAACCCAAATTTGGGAAAAGGAGGGAAAGGCGAGAAAGGACAAAAGGTAAAAAGTAGTGAGAAAGGGTAAATAGATCTGTTATGCAAATATTGACCCTTAATTTTCCAACCTTTCTCACATCTTTACCTTTTGTCCTTTTTCTCCTTTCCCCCCTCATTTGGACCTATAATCCTTTGAATCACAACTCCAGCTTTATTTAGTATTTCTTCCAACGCTGCAAGATTTGGCTACATTTGCGCCAAATGTGGCTACTTTTTTTTGTTTGACGTAAAAAATACTCGAAAAAAATAAATGAATTTATATACTGTATATTCTAAGTAAAAATTGAAAGTGTCTATAGAAGTAATTTTTAAAAATATCCTTTTTCGTGATAAAGTTTTAATATTTATTATTATAATCTACACATGTTAATCCTTAAATATACTTGTATATTAGGCCACAAGTATATATTATGTAAACTTGTGGCCCAAATCTCCTTGACTTCTTCCAATGCGGCCCAGAGAAACAAAAAGGTTGGACACCCCTG